AGGTTTGGGGGGAACCCGGGCCCGCCCTCTACTCCGGGTTCCAGCCCAGGGCCCTGTGGACTGCAGCTATCTATAGTGCCTCCTGTAACAGCTGCATGACAGCTACAACTCCCTGGGCTACTTCCCCATGGCCTCCTCCAAACACCTTCCTTATTCTCACCACAGGACCTTCCTCCTGGTGTCTGATAACGCTTGTGCTCCTCAGTCCTCCAGCAGCACACCCTCTCACTCTCAGCTCCTTGCGCCTCTTGCTCCCAGCTCCTCACACTCCCACCACAAACTGAAGTGAGCTCCTTTTAAAACCCAGGTGCCCTGATTAGCCTGCCTTAATTGATTCTAGCAGCTTCTTCTTAATTGGCTCCAGGTGTTCTAATTAGCCTGCCTGCCGTAACTGGTTCTAGCAGGTTCCGGATTACTCTAGTGGAGCCCCTGCTCTGGTCACTCAGGGAACAGAAAACTACTCATCCAGTGACCAGTATATTTGCCCTCTACCAGACTCCTGTACCCCACTGGTCTGGGTCTGTCACAGTATGTGTATGTGTGTATATATATATATATAGAGAGAGAGAGAGAGAGAACAAACAAAACCATTTACAGAGGGATATATATATATATATATATATATATATGCATTGTAAACTGCTTCTCTAGCAGTATATATAGACACCTTTATCATGTTGACAGTTCCCTTATGGTGCAGGTAAAAACACTTGCCTATGTTGCAAAACTTTGTGTGTAAATTTAAAGCAAAAATAAAGCTCTCCCTTCCCTCTCCATGGTGACATGAAAGTTCAATTTCCTTTAAAAAAATATCAGTATTTTGAGATCTGAAAAGACTGCTGTTTCATGCAAAATGCACAAAAGCACTATGGGAGAAAATTATTCTATTTCATCATTCTAGAAATCTGATGAAAAAACAAATTGCACCAAATACACAACTCTAGATGCAGAAAAAAACAACAATAAAAAAACATTTAAGTGCACTAATTAAAGTTCTGTTAACAAAAAAAGTTCCTGAATTTGCTCTATACTGGAAAGAAGGGAAAGTCATAAACAACACTCCAAGACTATAAAATATATAAGATTAAGCTATAACTATGAGACTATAACACAGGTAATAAGGCTTACTCATGATGAGAAGAAAACAATGGGATTATCATCTATTCTTTTTTTACATTGTAACTTCAATTGTGCAACTTGTTTCTGATGGTATTTTCTCTAGGATACGTCTACTTTTCCATATGTGCTGTGTACATAGCAACTTATGACTAATGACCCAAAAGGGTGAGCTTGCAGAACAGAGACACTTCAGAGACTCCACAACTACTATTTAGGCTAAACCCTATACCGATAATTTGGACCATACAATCATCTCAGAACCCAAATCCCTGTTGTGCTGCTAGTGTCTGAACTTAAACTGACATGCAAGAAGTTATTTTTTTTAGGCCCTGCACTGGGCAGAAGGAGCCAATCTTTTCTGAACCACTTAAGCCTATCTCCAATATTTACCATACAGAAAGCAGTGCTATATGTTTTTAAATTTATGCAGTGCCTTTTATCTCAGGAACATTTATGAATTATGCACAGGGATCACTTTATCCATTGACAACACATGCCCATCTCTTGTGTGAAACACAGCAATTCTAATTCCACATGGCCACATTGCATGACAGTTTAGAAATACAGAATACAGTGTCATTCTACAAGGAGAATTTAAGCTCAGTAGTGTAATCACAACATAATTATTATATTACTTTGAATGTACAGGTCACGAACCTGACATCACCACCCACAACCATGGGATCATTATTTACAACAAATGGTCAGACCCTTGGCTTTATGTCTCATTCCAGTGGACAACTACTTCAGCAATGTAGTGCCCTGGAACACCCTCCTGGGTCAGCGTGATTCAAAGAAGTGAGGCAGCTATGGAATCAGCAGAAACACTGCCTGTGGCACCTACATATACCTTAGTGGCCTCCACTCTCTAATCCAGACCAACCCTACTTAGCTCTGAGAGATGAGTAGGAGGGGGTATGGCTATAGGGCCACAGGCAGTTCTAGAGAACTTCTCTAGAAAAAACTATCCTTCTGAATATACTCAACTTTTTTCCCTACACACTTTTCTAACCTTGATACAGGACAGTTCCAATATTACCTCATTGCAAAAACCTTCTTTCAAATTTGATCTGGCCTGATATTGTACCATATTTCTTCCTTTAAATGATGACTCCTTTCTTTTGGAAGTTTACTGAACCAATATTATGCATTTTTGCTCTGCCTGAAATCTTCAGTAACAATTTTACATATGAGCATAGAATACATAACTTACATAAATCAGTTTCTGACCTTTAGGAAAGAAAACAAAGTACTATATAAAATACTTCAAACCGAGGATTAGTTATTGCTTCAATTGCTTTGCAAACTTCAAAAATACTGAAAAATCACTCTCCATTATTGCTTAGATTATTAATTATTGATGGCAAAAGAAGTGGAATACTTCTCCATATTTTGGCTGTGACACTTCAAAGGAGACCCGCCCAGTATAAGGGTATGCCCACGCATATGAATTTGTAGGGCCCTATACTTATAATGAATCTAACAGCTGCATATGTAACAGAGTTTTTAACATCCATGGGCAGGCAAAATATGTAGATGCAGTAACTGAAAGGTTTTCTATTTCATTGCTCTTGACCCTTTATGTATCGTCTCCTGAAATACTGTTTGTTAATTTCCCAAGTGAATCCCTGCCCTTCCTACAGTAATAATAAACTAGAAGATCCATTTTTCTTTCTCCCTCAGACATAGACTGTGCTATATGAGGCCACTACCTTTAATGCACCCAATTGATCCTGCATTTAAGTTCAAATCTGAAAAGAAAGTGAGATGTATCCATGACAGAAAAGCATCAATACCTGTGAATCAGGGGTGCAGTAAATTGAACATTTCTGCTTTTGTGTTTAACTTGCATCCACTTTTTTAGTAGTACATGAATCTCCTTTACCTATTCAGAAATGTGTAATTACCATTCCAGTTATCGGAGATACAGCCTAACGAAGCATTTTATCATTCTCTATACTTATTGCTTATTATCATTCTCTATACTTAGTGCTTATTGTCTTTTAAGAACATTAGAGCTTGTATAACTCATAGCAATGAATTGTCACTAGAGTTTGCCGGGACATTTTTGTCCAATTTGGGAAATGATCATTTGTCAAAAAGTTTTATCTAGTCCAGGATAGAATTTATGATCAAAGCCAGAG